CAATGTCCCTCAGCCCGGCCTGCGCCCTCTTGCAATCTGGGACCCCTTGGGTAGGGTCCCTAGGCCTGGCCAGGGATCAGGGCCTATTGGGGTTTTCCTTCCCCCGGCTGCCAGCAGCTGGCCCCACCCCGCCGCTGCCACTGCTTTCCATCTGTGCGGTGCTGCCTCCCACCCCCGCCACCAGTTGCCTCCCACTGAGGGTGACAGGCATGGGGTGCGATCGGTTGGCTGGCCTGGGCCTCCCTCTATGGTGCGATTGCAGGCCGGCCCTGCCCACCCACCACAACATCACTGGCCAGTGGCCTGGGCCTCCCTCTGTGGGGCGATCAATCACAGGGCCCCCAGATCGATTGTCCAGCAGAGGGAGGCCCTGCCCACCCACCACAGCATAGCTGGTCGGGTAGCCTGGGCCTCCCTCATTGAGGCAATTGATCACGGCTCTGCTCACCTGGCTGATGCTCCGTGATTGATTGCCATGCAGAGGGAGGCCCTGCCCACCAAGCCTGGGCTCTGAGATAGATCACCAGGCAGAGGGTAGCCTGGGCCTCCCTCTATGGGGTGATTGTGGGCCATGGCAGAGTCTCCTAACCCCCGACCAGTTGCATCGCACTCACCTTAGCTGGCCTGGTGCCAGTGCGTGTCATAGTGTGGTCGTCCAGAAGGTCATCTAAAAGGTTATCTGGATGGTCATTCTGCTGTTTAGTTCAGTTGATTTGATATTACACTTTTATTATATAAAAGGCTAATATGCAAATCGACCAAACGGCAGAACGACTGGTTGCTATGATGTGCACTGATCACCAGGGGGCAGACGTTTAATGCAGGAGATGCTTCCTGGTGGTCAGGGCACTCCCACAGGGGGAGCGCCGTGCCGCTCAGCCAAAAGCTGGGCTCACGGTTGGTGAGCACAGCAGTGGTGGCGGGAGCCTCCTCCGCCTCCGCAGCAGCACTAAGGATGTCTGACTGACAGCTTAGGCCCACTCCCTGTGGGCTCCCAGACTGCAAGAGAGCGCAGGCCGGGCTGAGGGGTACCCTCAAGTGCACAAATTTTGTGCACCAGGCCTCTAGTTGACAAATAAAAGTAAATGTACCTTTTAACCCTTTCCCTAATCTTAATTTCTAGAGGTAACCTTTGTTAATAGACATTGCCTATGTAATTATTCATTTAGTAAATATTTGTTGAGCAAAATTCTGTATGCTATATAAAATTCTATATTCATTGTGTTAAGTGGTTGGATGAAATAGCCAACAAGCAGACAATGATTCTCTGCCCCTCACAGTGCTTATGTTCTGTTAGCCGAGATAGACATTAAGCAAGTAAATAAATAAGCAACATAATTATAGCTCTGTGTCTACTTAAAGGAAATAAAAAGAATGTTCTGGTAAAGAATTATTGAGGGTATATTGAAAGTTACTTTAAATAGTATACATAGAGAGGGCCTTTCTGATGGGATGTATAAGTTGAGGCCAGAACATTAGAAGAAGCCTCTGTGTGTATTTTATGCTTACAAATACATATACACTTATTTATATATACACGTTTTTTTTTTGCAGAAGTGAAATTATATTTTTCTGTGAATTTACTAAACAGTATTTTGTAGATATGTCTGTAGTGAGAGGTTTATGTATGTTAGACTGGCTTAAATCTGGAAACAGTGCAATCAGTACAACTAATAAGCAGGGTGATTAAATACATGGAAGACTACTTAGCTGTAAAAAAATAAGGTAGATCTGTGTAAGGTGAGAAAGAAGGCTATAAATGTAGATATGCTTATATATGAAAGAGAACTTTATAAAACTGCACAATAATTTGTTAATTGTGTTTATGTCTGAAGATGGGGAAAAGACAAACAATGTATTACAAAATTTTTGAAAAGCCAAATAAAAATTATCTGTTAGAAATATAACAACCATGTCTAAACATAGTGATTTTTACTTTGTTCAGTGTGGTTTAAAACTTTTTGAATTTTTTTTTTTTGAAACAAAATGCTATGGAAGAAAAAATAGGTTGTTAAAGAGTTTTTGGCAACTATCTCCAAATGCCAGCTATTATAGCATTTTTTTTTCCTGGAAGATGAATCATCTATATATATAAAAGCCTAAGTGACCGGTCGACTGGTCACTATGATGCGCACTGACCACCAGGGGGCAGACACTCAATGCAGGAGCTGCCCTGGTGGTCAGTGCACTCCCACGGCCAACCTCCCATGGTCCCTCCCCCAGGCAGCCATCCCAATCGGCCTCTATCAGGACTGGGCCAGACGGCCCCGATCGCCCCGATCGGTCCCGATCACCAGCCAGGCCGAGGGACCCCACCCGTGCATGAATTGTACACCATGCCTCTAGTGTGATATAAATGCTAACACAGGTGTAGTGTATTCAGATATTAAAAGCAAATTGCTTTTGTTAAACCAACAGGTAAATCAAGATTCACCTATCAGAGACCCTACTATGTAGGCCATTGGGAAAGAGAATGTAAAATCAAAGAGTCGAGTTAGAATGGACTTTAGAGATCTGAGCATCTACTCTAGCTGAACTGGAGACTCACTCAGTTCAGTCACTTGCCCTATATCACTAGTTAGCATCAAAGTCAGGACTAATAACCTGGGTTTTCAGTGTTAAAATTCACTTTACCACTTTAGCAAGTTAAATGTTTTGAAGACAAAGATAATTTATACTCTTTTAACTTAAAGTTCAGTCTTTTTAAGTTTATTGTGGTTATACTTATTAACAAGGTTGGCCAGATGTATCTCTTTATAACAAGCATGTCAAACTCTGCGGCCGGCAGACCATATGCCTTTTGCATGTGGCCTGCTGGCCGCGAGTTTGACATGCTTGCTTTATAAGGATGACCATGCATCTAGTGTGCCTGAGACAGTCTTAGTTTATGTCTGTTGTCTCAGCATAATTATGAATTTTTAAGTACAGGAAGAAGTAAGTAGCACTTTAAGAGGAGCTGTGTTTAGTGGGTTCAGAGAAGAAAATATGGAATCTGTGATACTCATTAGGAGAACTTCGTACAAATCAGATGTGATGTTTAAGACACTTAACTAGGTGGTGACAGTGAAAAGAGAATTTTTTATCCCTCAGTGGCTCATACATGGTAAGTATTTATTAAATGTCAGGTAGATGTTCCTACAAAGGAAGGTAGAATGAGATTTGTGAGTTTTGGGAAACTTAAGGAAAAGGAAAAGTTTGAAATTTTACACCAAATAGAAATAGAAGGATTCTCTGTGTAAGTCTAAGGTTATGATCTTAGTCTACTTAGGTTAAGAAACTTTGTCTCCATTACTGTTGAGTTGTGCTACAATGACTGCTCTGATTTTAAATAGCTCTGGAGAGGTAGAAATATAATTAAAGTATGATTAGTTTCTTTAATATTTCATCTTTGCCAAAAGTCATGAATCATAAGACCAGGACATGTGAGATCCAGGTAATAACTTAGTGCCTCAATTATCATTTTTTATGTTTAGCAGTTAAATAGAAATTCTGCAAATGACTTTCCTGGACACAAAGATTGATTTAGAGATTATCAGAGAGCAAGCTTGAATTTGAATTTGATGCCATTATTTTGTTATAAAGAAAGAATCCATTATGCAGTGCTAAAACACCAGAAGGAAGATAGTATGTCTCAACATCTTTTAATTGGTGGCTATCTTTAAAAGATGCTAAATTATGCAATAATGTCATAGTTGGCAGAATATCATTTGGGTCTGAAAGACATCACTGACAATCTGGCTGTTTATAGACTTGATTTTATATAGTTTCAATTCTGGATCAGTGTGATTTTCATTTTAGGTTATGCTGTTGGCATTGAGAATATCTTCCAATTAATGCCCACTTAAGAGATCACCAAAATAAGAAGTGTAGTAAAATGTGAGACACAATTTGAGAAATGTTTTTCTAAAGTATAAGCATTTAAATGCTGCTACTGCCTCATAGCTACTATGTATGTTCTAATATTTTAGTGGTATGGATATTTTAAAAAGCAACCTTTGTTTACTACCAGAATTTCTCTCTTGAGTTTGCTCTTGTACAGTGTTACCTGAACATTGTAGACCAAAAATGATAAAAAGATATGAGAGCCTTTTTAGCTGGATTCCAGTTGTGACGATGTTCTTCTGATTTTTAGAGTTCCTCTTCATTTTACACTCCTTCACAAATTTGAGTAATTGTGGTTTCTTGTAAAATAATTTTGTTAAAGTTCTGGGTTAGGTACTATTTGAATCCTGTTACTTTTTACACGATTCGAGGAAATAAAAGTTGCTAGAATTTGGACTTCTGAATCTGAATCTTAAAAAAACGTGAATGCTGTTTATCTCTTGACTTTATGTCATTGAAAATTGGTTATTATTAGAGTTAGTGTAAGTCATTAAGCACATTGGAACAAAGTTTTCCCTTTTTATTGGTCTAAATGGGTAATGAGCAGATATACCTTTACACATTTTGTCTTTCCTTTCCCTTGGGTGGTTGGAATCTTACTGAGGAGACATCATTTTGATTTAGGATCAAAGGAGAGAAGGCTATCTTTTTTTCTGGGCTCACTGTTGTGGTAGGTGCGTCATTAGCATCTGGCACACCTTTTTAAATTTGTGCTTTTGATATCAGGAAAATGTCAGATGACTTCCTTAAAAGCGAAACATCTCTCCTGCCCGCCAGAATGGGAGGAGTATTTTGTGTTCATTTTATTTTATAACTTCCTTCAATTGTTTATGTAAGTCATTAGTTTAAACCAGCAGTTCACTGCTTATCAGAATACATACCCACTAAAACTCTCCAATAGAGTGCATTCCTCTATTATCAGATTAGTTCTTCTCTATCTTTGGGACTTAATTCTAGGAGGAGGAACTCTATAAAGTCTGTGGGACCATTGACATGGAACTCTTACTCCCTTGTTCTGAAGTTGTTTGAATACTCAGAACACATAGCCTTGGCAAACTACTTTTGTGAGTTTATGTTCACATTGCATTGTGCCCCTAACCAGTCTCCTAGCTGTTCAGCAACTGTGCTGATGGACATTTCAGGTATTTGTATAGCTTTAAGTTATTTCATTTTGGAGTATATTATTCTCTCACAACCAGGAACACCCATACTAAATTTGTAAGTTCCAACTTCAGTTGGTCCTCAGACTGCTGGAAAATCCTATTAGGTTTTTCTAATCTACTCCCTCTCCCTTCCCTCCATGTTAATTATTTTAAAACTTCATGCTCGTCAATCCTACTGTTCCCTTACTGTAAGCAGATAACCACATTTCTAAATTCATTGGAATTTGAAATTCTTTTTGTAATACAATTCATGGCCCGTATTTTGGCGTCAGTTCTATGGGTATTATGTTTGCTGGATATTAATTGCTTATAAATATCTATTAGATCAAACTTGTTCATTGTGTTAATAAATTCCTTTCAAGCCTTACCTAATTTTTGTTTACTTAATCTGCCAATTTCTAAGAAAAAAATATTTTTAAGAAAGGTATGAGTATAGATTTGTTCAATTCTTGTGTTTCTATTATTGCTTTCTATTTTCAGAAGCTATGTTGTTAATGCATTAGGAATCATTTATTTTCCTGGTGGATTACTAGGTTTCATCAAATCTAAGATGCCTTAGATTATAAAATGCATCCTGATTTCAGAGACATAAAAATGTGAAAAAGTGTCCCTTAGAATAAAACATGGTATTTATCTTAGCAAGAAACTGATTAAATCTTATTGTCCTCAATTATATTTTGTCTAATATTGGCATTACTATATCTGCTTTCTTTTTAATAGCATTGCCTGATTAATATTTTGTGCTCTTTTATTTTCAAGCTTTTGATGTCCTTTTGTTTTAGGGTCATCAACTTTGGACAGCTTTACACTTACTGTCTTTATGTCCTTATGAGTCCTGCTAACCCATCTTAATTTTTATCATGAGGTTACCCTTAAAATTTTGACTTGTACTTAGCCATTTTTTTTCCCAGTAGCACTTAAGGTTAATCATGATCTCTTTCCCCTCACCAAAGAATTTTAAAATGTTATCACATTAGTATACTTCTTGTATACTGTGCCTTCCCTCAAGTATATTCTTTGGACTATAATTTCTATTTTCTTGGACTTGTTGTTTTTAATTTATTTTGCTAGAGTATGCTTTATAGTAAATTTCTGAAAAAGATTGTATGAGAAGTAAATTTTCAAGACTGCATATCTGAAAATATTATATTTGCTCTCATAGAAAGTTTTATTATCTTTTAGCATACTTATAGAAATGTTTTGCTTGTTCATTTATAGATAATGAACTATTATTATAGATAATGCCTATTTTATTCTCTGTAAGCTTTTGGAACTTTTATCTTTAAATTTTGCTGTTTTATGGTATGGGTTTCTTTCTTTCTCCATCCCAATTCATATTGTCCAGCATGGATTAGTTTGTTTGTTTGTTTATGGAATAGTCCCTTAAAAAAGAGATGTACATCTGTTTAGGTCCAGCCAAATTTTATGATGTTATGTATTGCTCTTGCTCCTTGTTCTGTTATCTCTTATTAGAGGCCCGGTGCACAAAATTCGTGCGGGGGGTGGGGGATGTCCCTCAACCTGGCCGGCACCCTCTCCAATCTGGGATCCCTCTCACAATTCGGTACTGCTGGCTCCTAACCGCTCACCTGCCTGCCAGCCTGATAGCTCCCTAACTGCTCCCCTGCCAGCCTGATTCATGCCTAACTGCTCCCCTGCCGGCCCGATCGGCCACAACCACCCTCCCCTGCCAGCCCAATCGGCCACTACCGACCTCCCCTGCTGGCCCGATCCCCCACAACTGCCCTCCCCTGCCGCAACCTGCTTCCTCCGTGCGAGGCAGCGGAGATGCCGGACCGGCCTCCTCCACGCTGCGCGGAGCTGTGGGACCCCCAGGCCTCACCACACTGAGCGGCCACCGGGCCCCGCCTCCACTGTGCATGCAGCCATCTTGTGGCGGTGTCACACAAGGGTGCGAGGACCACCTAGGCTTTTATTAGTATAGATTTGACTTTTCCTTTACATGCTACTTCTTGTCTTTGAGTGTTTTGTTCTGGCAAAATAACTTTCTAGTCCACTAATTTTACCTTTATTTGGGTCCAGTTTGCTTTTATGGCCATATTTTAAGTAAGCATTTGGTTTTAGAAGTTTTAGACTTATGGAAAAGTTATGAAGATAGCTACAGAGGGGATTATTGTTAATATTGTTAACACCTATTAGTATGACACATTTGTAACAGTTAATTAAATAACATTAATTTTTTTATTAACTAAAGTCCATACTGTATTCAGATTTCTTTAGTTTTTATTTATTTTATTACTTTTACTTTTTTGTTAATCCTCACTAGAGGATGTTTTTTTTTCATTTATTTTTAGAGAGAGTGGAAGGAGGGGAGAAGGAGGCAGAGAGGGAGGGAGGGAGGGAGGGGGAGAGAGAGAGAGAGAGAGAGAGAGAGAGAGAGAGAGAGAGAAACATCGATGTGAGAGAAACACATTGATTAGTTGCCTCTCGCTCCCGCCCCGACCAGGGCTGGGGATTGAACCTACAAACCAGGTATGTACCCTTGACCAGTAATTGAACCTATGACCCTTCAGTGTGTGGGCCAATGCTCTAACCACTGAGCCATGCCAGCCAGGGCCAGATTTCCTTAGTTTTTAATTCAATGTCCTTTTTCTGTTCCAGGATACTATCCAGAATACCACATTACATTTAGTTATTACAGCTCATTAGGCTCCTCTTGGCTGTGACAGTTTCTCAGACTCCTTGTTTTGGATGACCTGGGAACTGGTTATGTATTTTTTAGAATGTCCTCCATTTAAGATTTGTCTGATATTTTTCTCATGATTGTACTGGGAATATGGATTCTTTTGGAGGAGGATTTCCATTCTCATTGCATCATACTAAGAGTATATATTTATCAACATGACTAATCACTGTGGATGTTGACCCTGGTTACCTCGCTGAGGTCGTGCTTCTCAGGCGTCTCTGCAGTAGCATCCTTTTTTTCCTTTTCCATACTGTACACTTTGGCAGTCACTGCACACACCCACACTTAAAGAGCTGGGAGTTAGAATCCACCTCTTTATGGACAGGGTATCTACACAAACTTTAGGATTCTTCTGCATGGGAGATTTATATGTTCTCCCTCATTTATTCATTTATTCAGTCATTTGCTAACGTTTTCTTAAGGATCTTTACATCTGTGTTCATGAGATATTTTGGTTTGCTGGTAATGTCTGTCTGGTTTTGATAATAGGATAATGCTTTCTTTATAAAATGACATAGAAACTGTTCCATTTTCTTGAGGAAATTGTAGAGCTGCTATGTCTCCTGGAATTGGTAGAGTGGCTTTGTGCAGTAGGTGTCCTATAGGGCCCAGTGGCTCAGACTCCCCAGTCACCCAAGCCGAGCACTCTAGGTGTGCCCCTGTGTGGGCTCTGTGCACAGTTTTGTTGTAGTTGAGCTTTGACTCTTGTTGGTGTCACTGGGAGGAATTGGCCTCCAGGCCAGTAAACTGTGAGGACCAGCTGTGACTATAGTGGAAAAGCTGCTATGCCAGAGACATCCCTGTGGAGCAGGACTTGCTTCAGTGCCACTTTGGTGCTCACTGAGTCTTCCCCTTGAGTGTATCGCTTGTGGATGTGTGGAGGTGTAATCTGGTATGGTCTGAAGCTGTCCACTAGGTGCACTGACTCGGGCTTTCCAGGAGGTGCAAAGTCAGCCACTGTGTTTGGCTTAGAAGTGCCCAGATGAGGCTGCTACAGGTGTTGGTGTTGGGCCTCTTATTGATAGGTATGGGTCACACTGAGTTCAGCTGCTGCTGCTTAGAGAAATTTTAAGAAAGTCTAACTCTAAGGCCTAAGCCAGGACAGGCCTTTCATATGAAAAAGCCCCTGCAAACAGCTTGGGTGGGGCTGCAAGTTCAATGTTGCGGGGTCTCAGGGAATAACCAGGGCAGAGGGAATAGTATGAGCCAGGCTGATGGAAACAGATATGGCTGCCAATCATCTCTGCAGTGGGGAGGTATCAGCATAGGAACAATGACCCCTGCGAGCACCCCTGTATGGGAAAAAGCCATCCCCGAGTTCCAGCCCTGATGCCAGTGACAATCTGCTTCCTCTCTGTATGTCCCTGGGTCCCCTCAACCCACAGCCCCAGAGCTGGAGCTCAGAGGGAGCAAGTCCGTGTATATCTGTGTGCCAGTCCTTTAAGAAGAACTGCCTGGGAGTCCAGCAGCCTCCATGTCGCTCAGCCACAATCACCACTGGTTTTTATAGCCTGAAGTTATGGGGGCTTCTCTTCCTAGCTCTGGAACCCTGGGTTGGAGGTCTGGTGTGGGGTTAGGACCCCTTGCTACTCACTGAAGGCCTCTGCAGTGGCGATATCCCTCCCAATGAAAAAAAACCACCACACATAGCTATTGGAACAGCCCATTCCGTGCCTCCGCCCCTCCTACCTGTCTCAGTGTGGTTTATTCTTTACTTCTCTAGTTGTAGGACTTCCATTCAGCGAGATTTCAGTGATTCTGAATGATGGTTGTTCTCTATTTTAGTTGTAATTTTGATGTGGTTGTGGGAGGTGGTAAGTACCAAAGTTTACGCTGCCATCTTGGTTTGCCTCGGTTCACATTAATTAATGCTAATATAATCACTGTTATCACAGCTCTACACAAGTAGAACATTCTTATTAGATAACTCTTTACAAACTGGATATAATTAATTTTCAACAGTGTTATATGTGAGAAATTGGATAACCTATGGATTATTTCTAGCTCAGTATGTCTCTTTAATGTGATAGAGATGCCATTAATTATTTTAATCTTTGATTATAATGACTAATATTAATAGCATTTTTATGAGCCTGGCCAGTGTGGCTCAGTTGGAGCGTCATCCTGTGCATCAAAGGGTCACGGTTTCAATTCCCAGTCAGGGCACATACCCAGGTTGCTGGTTCAATCCCCAATCTGGGCACGTGTGGGAAGCCACCGATCAATGTTTCTCTCTCACATAGATGTTTCTCTCTCTCTCTCTAAGGTCAATGGAAACATATCCTTGGGTGAGGATTTTTTTTTTTTTTAAAGCATCGTTATGTATGTTTTAGCCACTTCGTTTTAAGAGTTTATAGAAAGGTTTTGAAACTATATTATAAAGGAAACAGAAGAAAGAAGTGGAAAATTTTATCAAAAGAAGAGAACTGCACTCAAATACTTGAAAGTAGTCTGGCAATTAAGAATGTGCTATTTAAAAAGTATTGAAAGCTCTTTATAGGATGGGCCTTTGAAAAAACTTTATTTTGAAATAATTTTAGAATTAATGGAGTGTTACAAAAATAGTGCATTGAATTCCTGTAGAATACTCTTCACCCAACTTCATTGTAATGTTAACATCTTATATAACTGTGATACAGTAAGCAAAACTAAGTAATTGATGTTAATTAACTATAAACTCCTAACTT